AACGGCAGAAACACCAATTACTAAATCTGTACTTTGATGTTTTATACCTCCTATAATAATAAAGATCACTTTTTGAAAAAAAAAAAAAAAAAAAAGAAAGAATGCTAATAACTTTCAATTTGGGAATAAAACTATTAAACAAAATTTACCAAAATGATTCAAGTGTGTGTATACATATAAAAAAAAATTTTTTAGCTACGTCTGTGTACAGCTGAATCAATAATTAAATTAAAGTAGTAGAGTTATGGGCAACATTAAAATCAATTCAAATTAAGGCAGAAGTGTTATCATGAGTTTTTAAAAAAGTCTAAAATGGAAATTAAATTTAAAAACTTTCTGGCCTTTATTGCATATTGAGCAAAGAGTTAATCAAATTTTTAGCAAAGTTTCAAAAGAGGAAAGATTCGTGTTATGTGATGTTTCCAGTGTTGGGATTTTGGTGGCAAAATGATAATCTAATCTTCCCAATTGGAAGAGTGGCACATGACAGTTTCCCTCCTCACCATTTGGCCTTGTGCCAGACTAAGTATAGGAAATAAACTCTTTGCTGTTGGACTTACATTCTATCAATAAGTTCCTTCTCATCAAGAGCTCCTTGCAGATCTCGTTTGTTTCCGAGTACCAATACAGGAATTCCCTGTAACTGTGGCTTGTCTAGTAAGTTATGCAACTCATTCCTTGATGCCTCCGTCTTGTCATGGTCAGCTGCATCCACCATATAACTGGAAAGACAAACAAATATAATTTATAACATTTTGTCAATTGCTCAAAGATAAAAGAAATAGTTACTTCCATTTGAACCATTGATCTTTGTTGTCCATGCAACAAAATTTCCAATTGGCTTTTTTCAGAGAAAAAGATTTAGGTTGAATCCTCACCTTTCATTCATCAAACATTTCAAGTCAGTTTTTTTTAAAAGTGGTTTTTAATTGGAATATAAAGCATGTGAAATTGTTTCCCCTTGATATAAAGTGGGACTAGGGGGCACAATATCCTGAAGAGTTTTTCTGATACAATTTTTTAACATTGCTAGATGTAACCATAAATTACATGCTAACAGCTTCTTCGCTTATGCTTCTTGCTTGCAAAATTCTTCCAGGTTCTTGCTTTTCTGTCAACCAGGATCTTCAAAAAAATTTATATATCTTCCGTCTTTAATCCTGTTCTTTTACTGTCCCCTCTCTCAAATTGTAGATTCTTTGCTTAGATTGATATGAAAAAAAAAAAAAAAAAAAAAAAAAAAAAAAAAAACACACAAAAACAAAAAAACAAAAAAAAAACACACAAACATGTAAATTAAGCAGAATTTGTAGGTGTAATTTGTAATCTATTAGAGACAAGCATTGATATTAAACCAAAATGTCTTGCGTATTTTCATGATTTATGTTCCTTTTGATTGTTTAAAATGTTTTTAATTAAGCACCCCTACCACAGCACACACACAAAAAAAAAAAAAAAAAAACACACACACACACGCAAAACAACACATCAATTGATGTCAAAACACTGAGGTCAAATGTGAAAAACTTAATCATTAAATTTTACAAAGAAAAAAATGTACCTAACAAAAAAAAAGAAAAAAAAAAGAAGAAAAGAAGTTTGTATCTAGAGCAGATTTTGCTGTGTTGAAAATTTTACAACTGTTGAAATAATAATCTTGTGATTTTAAGGAGAAAGAGAGAGAGAGAGAGCAAGAGAGTTATTTTTAATCCTTCCACCCATCTTATTTTTTTCAACAAAAACAAACAAGCATTCTGGATAATTACTAACATTTTCTTTAAGCAAAGAAAAAAAGTAATAAGAGGATTTTTAAATATTTGCATTTTAGACAAATTCGTTCAGGCTCAGATTTTCAAATGAAATATATGTGACAGAAGTTTCTGTGTAAGATTTACTGGTCTGTCTTATAGATGGGATTATATATATATATATATATATATATATATATATAAGAGAAAAAAAAGAAAAGTCTTGACTCAACTGGATGGATATTAATTAAAGTCAATACAAGTAATGCAAGTGGGTTGAAATTATTATCAAAGTTTTTCTTGTTGTGTATCTTACAGAGTAGACGAATTTAAGCAGTCAGACAAACTATCAAATTATGCCTCATTTAGCAAAAATAATAAAATGATGTGTTTCAAGGATTAAATCAATGTTCATTTTTACTAGTATAGGTACCGTGTCAGTAAGAGGTGAAAGACAAAAAAAAGGCTTTAATCCTTAAAACCACTTAACACTAATGTTGCTTGTAAATGCACGAACCCACTTTCTTATAACTACCTTATTACGCAGTTATTTTTCTAAAAATATAAAGCTTGGATTTAGTATACTAAACCAGAACTTTTATAATGTTGGGTTGTGTATGGGTGGGTGGGGGATGTCAAATATTTATGTGAGTCATGTAGTATTTAGCATTTTTCTTTTATGTATGTACTAAGACAGTTCTTTGTTAGATTGTTTCAGCAGCAAGTTTAACAGTGGGCAGGGGTAGCTTGAAGGCTGAAAAGAAAATAGATTTCAAAATTTTATTCAAATGTTTTTATCTTAATGATGACTCATTGGGAGGCAATCCTTTAAATAAATTGACAACTTGCAAAATGTTTTAATTTGTAAACATTAAAACTTCAATATTTCTATTTTATAGACTAATACTTTTATGTTAAAACACACACAATATATATATATATATAAGATAGAGGGATAGAAATGTAAAAAGAAGGCTGAAAACAGCTGTGTCTAAAAGTTATAGACAACAAAAAAGTGTTCAGTACAAAATTGGATATGCAGATCTAAGATATTTAAGAAAAGACTAAAATGCCAACCAACCTCACAACCTGGGTTTTGACTGTAAGGTCTCCTCAGTCAAGTGGAAGGACATCCTTCCACTTGACATTTTTATATATATATATATATATATATATATATATATATATATATATATATATATAGAGAGAGAGAGAGAGACTCTCTCTCTGAATGGAATACAAAAAGTTGTTGCTGCTATCCTCAAAAGTTTTTGGCTGACATGACAGTAACCCCCCCAAAAAAAAAACCCCATGTATTTACGGAGCTACATGTGATAATTTTTGGTGGTGGGGGCTGTCAAATGATTAACCATAACACTCCTTAAATACTAATTAACCTTTTCACCTTATGTAATGGCCTTTAGATTACAAAACAGAAATATCAGATTCTTTCCATACCTACATCAGCATTAACATTTTCTCTTTACCAACAAGGTAGAATTTTTTTTTTTTCAACAAATGGACAAGTCATCGACTAACCTACCTCCCCGCCCTCGGCTTTTCAATGATCAACCAAGTTTCTATGAACAATAAAGTAGAACCCAATATAGAAAAACATCAAAGGCTTTTGTAAGGATTCTCCTTTTAGTACATAATAAAAAAAAAAATTACCCACATCTTCATGAATACTTGAATGAAGGAGTTCTATTTAGGCAACATTAAAATCAAGGCAGTAGTGTTGTGACATGCAGTATTTTTCATTTCAAATGAAAATAAAATTTAAACTTCTGCCCTTTATTAATTACTAGCTTAAAATCTGCACACTGTGTTGACTTTTAAGTTAGCTCTTGTGGGGGTAGGAGATTGGGGAGGGGGTAATTGGGCTTCTGGCTCAGAACTAAAAGGAACCTTTGGTCCATCTTAGAAAATGGCAATGCTAATTTTGAAGAAATACAAATTCCTCAATTGACACCATGAAACTTTAAAACCTCACTTTGATTTGAGCTATAGATCCAATTCCAGCCAAAAGACCAATTTGGGCTGAAAAATTGAGGAACTTCAAAACCTTAAATTATGAAACCTCTTACTTTAACAGATTCCTTGGTATTTTGAAGAATTCAAAGTTTGAGATATTTTAAACAAAATTTTATAAATTCAAAGTTTTTGTGTTATTTTAAGCTCAATATTAACTTTTAAAATCACTGATATATTTCAGTTATTTTAAAATTTGAATGATTAACTGTTCTTTCCTCATCTGAACACAAATCCCAATGCTGGATGTTCAAGCACCAGATGAAAGGCAGATTTTTAATTCCAAAAGTGTATATTTATGTAGAGCAAGTGTGACAAAGTAAAATATTAGTAATTCAAGCAACAGAAACTAATCAATGGTAGGATCTTTTTGAAGGGGGGGGGATAAAGATTAAAACATCAGATTTTCCCTCCTTCAAATTAAAAACGAAAACTTTGCAGGAAAGCTAGTTCTATCAGCTGTTAGAGTCAGTTCTTTGTTTAAAGACAAATCTTTATCTTCTTAAAAGGACCAGATGGCTGGTTTGTAAGGAGAAACTTTTCAAAAGGAGAAGGATAAACAGCTGTGAGATTATCTACTCAGACATAAATAGAGGGAGAAAAAAAAAAACTGCAGAGAGGAGGGGGGAATCAAGACAAACGTGGCTTAAGTGAATTTCTAGTTTTTCTAGCAAAAGGAATGGGCTTATTATTTTGTCATAAAATTCAAGTTATTTCAAATCACCAGTGCTATTTTTTTCATAGAATTCAGAAAGGGAAAAAAAGAGACAGGAGGAAAAGGGGATGGGGGGAGAGAAGAAGAAGAAGAAAAAAGTCATTTTGAACACCTCATTATTTTAAACTAACTTTTATTTAATTATTTACATTGTTCAGGCTGTTGTCCTCATCTTTGTTATCTTTACAATGTTTTTGGGCCAGTGGACAAAAGTGTTTGAAGTAATCCAGTGACTTCACCCAAAGAGCTGCGAGTTCAATACCTAGCCACAGCAGAGGTGAACAAAAACTTGGAAAGTTGACTCACTAAAGGGAAATAAACACATATCCAGAAATGTAGGGCATGTGGAACAAAAAATAAAATATACCACAATGTATGAATATAACAATAAAGATGAAGACAACAGTTCAAATAGTGTAAATAGTTACAATACCTCAAAATCGTAGAAATATAGACAGATTTTATTTAATTACTTCTTATAATGCAGAACAACTCTAGCCAGAAGAGTTCAGTACAGTAGTAATAATTCCTGGAGTGAATCTCCCAAGTGATCCCTCTTTTGGAAATTGACTTTTAGATCAGATGTTAGAAAGAATATTTATTAGGTATAACAAAGAGTAATAAAATTAAAAGTATCATTATACCAAATAACGATGGAGAACAACACAAATTACAGTGGCACTTTTCCTAAGAGGAAAAAAAAAAAAAAAAAATTTACAACAGTCAAAAGCAGCAATGGTGCAGACAGTGATAGCGTCAATAAGTTTTGTTGAATACTTACACAATAGCATTGACTCCTCGGCAATAACGTTCCCACATGCTACGGAACCTGGGCTGCCCACCAATATCCCATAGCTTAATGGTCACATTGCCCTTTGTAATCTTTCTCATATTAAATCCCACTGTTGGAATCATATCCTCACTGAACTGGCCTGACTGCAAGAGAGAGAGAGAGAGAGAAAAAAAAAGAAAAAAAGATGAACTCCATGATAGATGAAGATTTACAATTAAATAGAAGAATGCAAAGTTCAAACGATGAACACAAACAAGGGGGAGGGGGATAGTAAAAGTCATCTCATGAAGTATTTTCTGTTCTGGCTTTAAAATGCTAAAGAATGCAATTTAAGTATGATTTGAAAGAAAAAAAAAAAATAAAAAAATTCAAGAGCATTATCTACATTGCATCCTTGGTACAGGCGTGGGGTGGGGTTATGGGGAGATAACATATTCCCAATTAAAGAGTTAACAGTAAATGTTGGTCAAGAGGTTGTGAGGGAAAACTTTGAGGATCGTGAGTTTAAGAAGGATTATGAAAAGTCAATTCTTGCCCTTTATAAAAATGCTGAAACTAGGAATTCCTTGAGAAATAAAGGGTTCTTGTTTTCAAGATTGCAGAACATCTTCAAGAGGATTAAAGAATGAATACTTAACAAAAAGTTACAAAAATTCAAGTTTTTTTTTTAAAGGAGAGTAAAAAAAAAAAAAAAAAAGACAGTAGACCCTGACAAATACACTCAATTACTTAACCCAGGGATGTGTGGCTGGCATAATGGCCATGCAGATTTTTTGCTAAAGCTATTGTGTTCATTTGAGAAGAGACATGAATTCATCACCTCTTCCTCCAGTAGGGTAGACTAGATTTTCTAGTCTTGGTAAGGCAATCTGTCTAAAAGGAGTGCCTAATTCACATCCTTGTATATTTGCTCTTATTGATTCAAACATTTTTTCAGCGGTCACAGATTAAACCTGATTAGGGCTGAAGAACGTATCAGTTCAATTGACTTTTGCTAGTCGATTAGTTTTCTACAGCTTTTGCAGATTATTTAATGCCAGAAAATATTTTACGTTGTAAGAATCTTTTTTTTTTTTTTGGAAGTATTAATTGTTTAGTGTTACAAGTCTTTCTAATTAACCCATAGTTGGGATGAGATGAGGTGGATTCTTATCTTTGTCAAGGCTATTTGTACATAAGTGAATATAATGAACCTAACAGAAATTAGAACTTTGATCTCCATTTAACAATTCCAAGCTATTATCCATTACACCACCTGCACATCCAAGCTTATAGTATCTGGTATTTCCAAGCAGTCACCCATCTAGGTCCTGACCAGGCTTGACATTTCTTAACTGATGATAAGTTAAACTGGAGGAGTTGAAGTCCCATGTCAGTCATTACCAATCTTACAAAATGGCTGCATGTCTATTCTAGAACTTAATTTCATTTTGTCATCCATGGTTGAGCCATCTCGCTAAGGCCATGCCAACTATCAGGTAAGATAGCAATTAACTTTTCCATATCTGCTCAGGTATATCTGGTTTACTGTGTGAACAAGCTATTGTTGTAGACAAGTTCTGTAAATATGTAAATAAAATATATGTCCTTGTGTGTTTTCAGTCATTAATAAAGTGTTTTCAGCCATTAATAAAGTGATACTACTGTGGTGAAATAAGACCAAGGAATTTTAAATTTACTCATGTCTCACCTGCTCACCTGCACCCACAATGTCTCACCTGCTCAGTCAGAGCCACCACTTGCAATTTAGGTAAAGCACATGTGTGGTTAAAGCTCTTTTAAAACTATTGCTAATTTGTATACATGATCAAAAACCTGAATAAAAAAGGTGAGCTGCACAGACGAGCAGGGATATGATCTACAGACCTTACCTGTGTTAGGCTCATTGTGACTATCAACTACAACCATTCTATCTATTCCCATAAATTAAAGTTCTTAAACCATAAAATTCATGGTAAATGCTTTGTTATCATTCATTTTCTTTGAAATTAACTTATTTTTTCTTATTTGGTCATGGAAGATGATTCTTTGCACATTGAATATAAGCAAATCCCAAAATTATGAATTTGATAAAACTTAAATGCTTCCAAACAATTAGTTTTTCAGAGTTAAAAATTATTTAGAAAATGAGAATCATTGCAGTAGGTAAATGTTTTTTGAAATTTAAAATGGAACAAACCAGTTAGTGAAGCTGAAATATTAAATTCAAGTTATGTGGGGTTATACCAAAGCCTTTTCAGTATTCTCTTGTATATATATTTAAGGAACGTCAAGAGTCAAAGGAAACTTAAATCAAAGATTCCAAGGATTTGCAATAATATCTTTTCACAATCTCAATTGATTTTACATTCACAACACACAATGGCATTTTAGCTGAAAGGTTTATTTTTACATCATATGGGGAAAAAAAAAAAAAAAAAAAAAAAAAACTCACATTTCATGACATTAAAATTTAAATTGTAATTTGGTGGTGTAAAAAAAAAAGAAAAAAAGAAAAAAAGAAAAAAAAAAGCCATTTAATTGCAGTCCCCTGCACCTCAATTGGAGACAATATTCAGAACTAAAATTGTCTCTTGACAATAACATTTTGGAATTAATTTGCTTCCTACTTAGAAATAAATGAAGATTTAAACATACCTCCATGTGGTAATGTAAAGAGAAACATGTAGAATAAATGACAATGCCAAAAGTCAAAGGATGAACAAAATCTGTATTCCAGTTAATTTCAAAAAGTTTTGCTTAAGACTACAATTTACCAGCTATTCACAATATAGTATGAATTTTTCTGATCTAATCTATTGTCAAGTGGTGAGAGAGAGAGAGAGAGAGAAAAGCAGACATTAATCAGCCTAAGGGGGAACATTAATTTGTTCTTGCGCTGAACAAAAAAAAACAATAGATACAACATTTTATGTATTTATAATAGTTTTTGCATTCATTTCCAAATTGAGTTTGCTTATTTTTAAGATACAAAATGATTAAAATTCCTCAAGTACAACCCCCCCACTCCCCGCCTCAAGCAATCCTAACTTTTCATGGCTTTCTTTTAAATTTCATTTGCGCATTGCCATGATTGTTCTTGAGAAAGAGGAGGGGGAATGTTTGAATTCAGAATTTCTCTGTCAACCATAACTACAGATCAAAGTTAGCTTTGATCTTTAAACCGTAACTGATGATAGGAAAGAAAAAAAAAAAAAAAAAAATGGTTTCATGTCTTTCATAAGAACATGAAGAAAAATAAAAAGACTCTTAGCCAGATAATAGACTTGCCATTCCATTTGTGAATCTTCATATTCCAAAACACCAGATATTAAAATTTTCTTGCAAAGCAAACAATCCATTTCTTCATGCAGCACAATTTCTAATTAGAATTTTTTTTTTCTTTTTAAAGACATTAACATCTCTTAAGTCAAAGGTTAGTTTGAATTTATTTCCTGGAAAGACATGCTATATCAGTTTTAATTTATGTATACTTTAAAATGTTAAAATGAATGTATATCATAAAAGCAAAGAATATGTATTCTAAAATTGTTATATAAATTATATCATAAAATTCCAATAAGTTATTCATACATATTTATATATCTTATTTATAAAATGTATTTTTATCAGCTAGGTCAGCAGTTTGTCAAAAACATTTTCTAGAAACAATTATAGAAATAACATCCTAAATGAATGTAACAGATTGGCTGGTAGGGCAGGGGGACTGGAGGCCGAATTGTTCCAAGGTTTAAAGCAAATAAAATGACCTCACCTGAGAAAAAGAACTGGCAAAAAGAAGATTGTCCCCCAGATATAAATTCTATATTTGTAAAATTTGGGATAGACTGACAGTAATTAATGATGTGAATAACATTTCAAGTTGACCTTATGCAATAAATGCCATTAAAGTCACAATGCCTAAGACAACAAATCAGATGTGCTTGCTTGTGTGTGTATGTATATATATATATATATATATATATATATATATATATATATATATATATATAGGCTGGATAGTTTTGGCAAATACCATTTTTAGTTACATTACAAGCTGTTTGCAGACCATGTGGCAAATTATATATATCTATTACAGTATTTCACTGCTATTAGGTGAACCAGTCTACCACAGTACCTGGTGTATTGTGGGTGGGTGGTAGAGCCCAAGATTTTGCTCTTGTACCCTCAATATCACTCACTTTTTTTTAGAAATTCCACCCTATTTTACCAAATTTCTAGGCCATCTTTATGATAAACAAAACAAACAGCAATTATCTGATGGGTCTTAATTTTTTTAAAATTACACCCCCTTTTCACATGTTTTACCTTGATTTTGATGATCAAACAGACAAAATTTTGCGAAATTTTAACACCTTGTCTGTTTTACACCTAATCGAATTTTATTGGTAATAATTACATATGATCACTTTATATTTCTATTTCGCGTGTGATCAAAGAGTTCCAATAACATCAGACTAACAGGAATTCAATCACTGCAATCAGATACTATGGATGGAGTACTTTTCTCTGGTTGATCATGTTCAATTTTATTGTCCAACAGTAGACATCAAGAATCTCTCATAAATAAACGAATATAAATGGCGTGTAGTAATTAAAGGGGTTTGCAATTGAGAAATTGCGACTCCTAATAGTAATATAAAATGTCTAAATGTAAAGCATATACAGTAAAAGGAAACTGCATTTGATAGATATGATACAGTATAGTGAAATGAAGGAAAAAATCAGTAGGGATACAGGGGTACCTGAATCCACCCTTGGGGATTGGGTGAAGGAGGAAACCAAGCTGCGAGAGTTCACAGAGACTGTCCATGGATCAGAAGGACTGTGTATAAAGAAGTCCCAGACAGCCAATGATGAACAGCTGAATAAGGCTATGCTCACCTAGTTTGTGAAAAACCTGGAGACTCCTCTGTCAGGTCCCATCATGAGGCACCAGGCAGAGAAGTTTCACCACCAGTTCCATGAAGCTGAGGGTGAGGGAGACTTCATTGCCAGCAAGGGATGGCTCCAGTGTTTCCAGAAGAGGCATGACATAGGCACAGTGAAGATCCAAGGGAGCATAGGTCAGCTGACACAGCAGCAGACTCCTTCCCAGCCCAGCTGAAGGAGTTCCTGGAGGAGGAGGCCCTGACCAAGGAGG